TTCCTTTTTTTCATACCAAATAACTATGAAAAACAACTTGAATTTAAATTTGAACTCTAACTTAATGGATAGCGGTACTCATCCAAAGCGCATTACACAAACGACATATGGAAATCGGTGTAAAAATAGAACATATTTTTTCCAAAATGGTCACGTGGTTTTACTTCGTAGTAGTAAAGGGATAACCACATCAAAGAATGACATGACCACATCAAATACTGAAACAAACACATCATGTAGTGTAAAATCGTTAAATTTTGAAACATCATTACGTAATGTTAAAGCCATATAAAGAATTGGCAAATCATCATTACGAAATAACAAAACCATATCATGTAATGAAACAACTACATTACGTTATGTCACATACACATCCAGTAATGTTAAAACCACATTGCCTAATGACACAACCACATTAAATAATGGTGAAACCACATCGAGTGATGACAAAACCATATTAAGTAATGACAAAACTATATCAAGTCAATAAAAAACCATATCATGTAATATGGGAATATCATTAAGTAATGACTTTTCCATACTGAGTTATATCAAAACATCATTACGTAATGTCAAAACCATATTATGTAAAGACAAACTATCATCAAGTAATAATAGAACAACAAAACGTAATATCAGAGTTCCACATAAGACAGCTGTGGCATTCCATATGACGACATAAATGTAATTTAAACTGACATTGAGGCAGACATAGATTTATAAGCAAACTGAGTCCATGCGATATTGCAAACTATTTCTGGCCGATAATTTTCATATCATTTACTAGTATTGTAATATTAGTTTAAAATGTAAGTTGTTTTTATTATGGTCAATAAATTTAGTTTCTAAAATTCATTTCTTTAATTGTCATGATTGTAAAGATTTAAAAAAAAAATCTTTTAAAAAGATTTTCCTATAATAAACTTGATAATGACGGGGCAATTTTTTAGAACTACCTCCATTTACGCACTAAACAAAACCAAGCGCCAAGGAATAGTGTTTTAATCGCCGCTTGATCAAATGTAGGTCACAGTGAAGCCTTTAATACAGAGGGAATACTTTAACCTTACTGGAAGTTCAAAACGGTCCGTAGCACCCTTTTTAGCGAAATCCTTTGCTAGATTTTGAAGGCGCTTCATCTGTACCAAATTGAAAAAGACAGATCAAATTATAGACTATAAAGGAGTAAGAAATCTTACAATAAATCAATAATGTCATATATATTGGCCGACAATCTCAGCTACTTAATTCTTTCAAAGATTCAGAGATTTGGTTTGGAAGATTGACTGTACCTGAAGAAAACTTATTACAAACGGGATAGTACATCATATTTTTTATGATGATGTTGATTACCGAGCCCGTAAATTTAGATACGATCCGAGTAACTTATCGATCCTTTAGATAAACTTATTCTAAAATGTTACCAATTCAACACTCTAACTAAATCTTTGAATTTCATTGGTTTAGATTATAATTTTGTTATCAATAAATTAAAACCCAACTAGATATTGTTATACACATAATTTTGTATAAACATTCATAGTTCTACAATCTTTCGATACCTATATTTTTGCATTGCACAAGGTAATGTTTTTCACTGACTGTAAATGACGTCTTTACACTAAATTCATTGGATGTTGGATATGTACTGATTGACATTTTAGTCTTAGATACATGATTCATTTTATTAGTTGTTATTGGCTTTGAACTAGCTGTCAGTAACTTCGGTACTCCCAGATCTCTATTTTGTGTCTTTGCTTGTGTTTATTTGTGCTTTGTATCGATCGGAAGAGTAAATCCTTGTTCAACTGATTTTGTTTGCTTGTTCTTATATTGTTCTGTTACACCACTGTCTCATGTTAGAGGGAGGGTATGGCACCGGAAAATATGCTGAACCCCATTTTGGGCCTTTTATTTTTTAGCTTACTTTGCGGTATGGGTTTAGCTCTTTGTCGAAGGCCGTACGATTACCTATAGTTGTTAACCTCTAAGTCATTTGGTCACTGGTAGAAAGTTGTATAATTAGAAATTATACAAAATCGTTTTATTTCTAGATTGTCTCCGTGATTGATAGGTGTTTGCTTCCCGCCGCATCAGCACAACAAAGCTATATCGCGGCCTGTGACAATTGCTGGTAAAGTTATCTGCGAAAACAGACTTAAAGATAAAACTACTTAGAACGAATAAAAAATTGTTTGCAGAAACGACAATTGTAGTATTTCGTGGTATCATCATAATAGTAGCCTTTGTTGTTATCAAAATAGAAATCTTTTGGACACCCGTAATCTCTTGTGCAATAATCAACGAATTTGCCTTATGGGTTACCTATAAGACAAAATTAAACAAAAAGAAAACATGAAAAAAGAAAACTGTTTCAAATTCAGAAATAAAATCAAAATCATTACTTATACTTTTAATAGAAAATAAAATATGATGAAAAAGATTTATGTGGTAGATGAATAAAATCAACACATAACAATTTTGTCATTGGACAAATGTGAGTTCCCAAGATGGCGGATGCATCATTACGATCTATTATGGAGGGACAGAATGAAACTTGAAATAAGAAATAACAGGCCACAAGTTCTCATCAAAAATTTTTATATATCCCACACTGTTTAAGTTTTCTTTGATTGGTGTAAGAGTTCCCACTCCATGTAATAAAAGGCACCCCCAAAACATGACAGAAAATTTAGCTTTGTAGGTTTTTCCCATGGTACAGTCTATTACATTCTGGTCGTAATCGTTCATCAATTTTACGCAACACAAAAACGTTTTTGTTGTTTCCAATCTTTATTTTTGTCTCATCAGTAAAATTTCCAGTTTTCCCGCACTGTCCAATGAAGTTTTTCACGACAAAATCGTTTCATTTTATGGCGATTTACTGGGGAAATCGTTGTTTTCTTCGAAACTTGGTGCCTCTTTTAACCACTTACTTATAGCTGTTGCCTGACTGTCCTTGAATAAACAGGATTCAATGTCTGATAATTAAATACAGCAGTGATTTCACCTAGAGTTTGTCGCCGGTCTGAACGCAACAGTCGTTAAAGCTTCCGGTCATTTCTATCGCCTGGGATCTTTCTTTTTCTTCCGGAAACTTCTCCCATTGTTTTCCTTTGACCCACGGTCGGGAAACCTCTTTCAAACCTCTTGTTTATGGTTCTCCTATTCCTTCCTTACAATTTCCTTATCTCCTGCCTAGAATTGCCATGTTCTGACAATCCTAAAATCATTTTTTTTTCTCCACTGGTGTCATCTCTTTCCCGTGGGATGCAATCTTTAAAACATACGAATTATTTGTTTATTTACGTCAGTGCAACATAAATGACGTAATCAACTAAATATTTGGCACTAAGGGGCACCGTCAGTAACGACGTTTAGTATATAAAGAGGGATAACTCTTAGAGAAGCATCGGTAAAAACCCAGTGGACAATTGCCCAACTATCCATTTGTCATTTTAGGAACACACTTTTGTCCAATGAGTGTTTATGTATAACAATTCGTACACTAATATAACTCTCTATCTTATTGAATTTAAGCTCATTTTTCATTTGTAGCATAATTAAGTACTTTCTTGTAAAATATTTTCCCTCACAAAGTAGTTCTCCTGTATGCTTTCATGAAACGGGTTAAATCATACATGCAATTTGTATACAACAACTCATTAAGTTTGAAACACCACCAAAGAAACTCATCATAGATACCATGATTGAAATTTTGTACGCCAGGCGCACGTTTTTCGTCTCAAGAGCACGTATATGGTTCGAATAAGAAATATATGAGAAAATGTTGTAAGAACAAACAATTGATCTGATAACTACGTATTAAATAGATGACTAGTATATGGCATGACACTTGTGAGTTATTAACTTCAAACAGAGCCAAATTACACCTTGATTTGCTTATTGTCGGTAACAACATATCAAAAATGCAGGTAAAAGAAAACTTGGGGTTTAAAAAAAAATATAATCGAAAATGTTTCCATTTTATAGTAGTTGCACGACTAAAGAGTTGAGTTCGTTTCGATGACATCAGCCTTGTAAATACATGTATACAAAGGGTCATCTTTCCCATAATTTGTTCTAATGTAGGTTTCCAATTTGAAGATGGTTTTGCATTATGGGGTGTACTGTGGGGGTTTAAATGAAAGAAGAGACGGGTTATACATCAATGCGGCAGTGTCTTTTCAATATGTCGCACTTTAAATCGCCATTAATATAATACTTTTTAGAATGTCATCAAGGACATTTGTATTTGGAAAACATATGCAATTTTAACTTTCGTTTTCTTTCTGTACTTGGTATCCAAAGTAGACTGACTGGTTGAAGTATTTAAAGATCAACAATCAAAACGTGGCAATTAGTGAATTCGATAAAGGAAAAAGGTCCTTCAAATAGGAAAAATCCTGTTAGGTTAAATGGAAAACAAATTCTCATAAAACTGCATAATCAAATATTTTTTTTGTAAAAAAAAATTTGACTTTTCCAGCCCAAAAGATATGAAATCGTCAAAGAATCAAAGTTTTGATTTCAAACTAATGACGCCTGGTTTAGTAAATATTCACATGTCTACTGTCGGATGCCTGATGAAGCAGTGGTATTAAATATCTACCTGAATGTCATATTTAATCTCTTTGTAATCATATTTCCATGAGTGAAGAAACTGCAGATTTATTATGCACATTACAGGCAGATTTTATCCGATGTTATAATAATAATTGCTTGTAATGTTTATGTATTGTAAACTAAAATTACTAATACATGTAATATAATATTATCCTGTTTCAATATGTTCATACTTAAAAACTAATCTTGTGTTTAGCCACGAGCTATAAACTAAACAATTTTTTTTTATAATTACGACATGAATGTGTGGTTGTTTTATAGGTTAATCCAATTTTTAAGTATGTTTTGCTAAATCTTGCATGTAATAAGTGAAGCATCTGTTAGCAAAACTGACTTTACTTTCATATTTAAAGCAGCATCAACATGGAAGCTCACCCACTTGCAAGATGAAGTCAATCCAGATGATGCTCGCAGTCTTTGTGATCACCTCACTGTGCGGAATAGGTAAGAGAGCTTTGGTTTTTACATATTTTTTTCTTTATTATTCTAGTACTCAGTAGATATCTAATAAGAATGGGTTGGAGGTGTCAAACATTGAATACAGGGTCTATGATTTCGTTTAACGAATCTGAAAGATTTGTAAGGGAAAATATTGTGTTCAATGTTTAATTTTCAAGTATAATTGACTCATATTCATTTCAAAATATTTTTAACTCAATGTTAAATGCTTGAGAGGATTAATCTTCATTACACTGTTCTGGGAAATCATAGTTGATCTTCGATTATCTTGATTCAAAATAATATTGATGAATTTCCTATAACATATAAGATTACTGTAAACCAACTTATTTTCGCGGATACTTTACTTCGCGTTAAGCCCTTCCTAGTCCACTTCGCGGCGATTTAATTTCGCGCTTTTCTAATTTACTTGATGTAGTTAGATAAGGAAAGATCCAAGTTTTACATATACGCGACGATTTATATTCCTGTTATTTTTTCTACTCGCTGCCAAAGTCGCGAAAAAAAATCGCTCGCGAAAATTATGTGTTTACAGTATTAGTTTGTCGATAAATATACAAACGCTAAACGGTCTGACTCCTTCAACCATCACCTTACAAAGAACAAATACATTTTTCAATATTTCTCAAACAATTCAAAATATTTAATACTTCACTACTATAAAAAGGGGCTTGTAGTTGCATGTACATCTGCTACATATACTGAATACTAATTAAGTATTATCAAAATGTGATAAATATACTTATAATAAGTATAAAAGTTTTTACTCCACAATTCCAAAATATTTTACGAACACCACTTCAGATGAACATCTTGATCGTTTCTTAATATACTGTATTCCCAAATTACAGAACAGTTCGTGCAAGGTAGCTAAACATTTCGGTCCACTGAATACTCCCCGTAACCTCTTCTAAATATATCAGCATTAAAAAAACCGATATAAAACGTTGTTTTGAAGCTACCTACTCACACGATATGCGATTCAGATGCGGTTCTAAAAATAACAATGGTTTGTTTGATCGAATATAAACAAATTCCCTTTTTCTCATGCAATAGTATTAAAAAGTTTTATTTCCCCTGTCGTAACTAAAACACACAATCATGTTCCTGCTCACTAATGTCACTCTTAAGGACCCAAATAAACTCTGCAAATACCAGCTTGCAATCTTAAATATCTCTGAGAAATAATGCACAAATTGTGACCGAAGAAGGATATAAGTAAAGGTACAATAGATACGAAATGGATATAAGGGAAAGTTTATGTAAGGCGTGCGATGTTATATTGGAATATATATAATTCATTTCACTAATGTGATTGGTACATAACTAATATGAATTGAGAAGAGGTATGTTACTGTGTGCAATGGACGAAGTATTGTTTTATGGAACATTTTTAATTCTTTTTTCTCTCTCCCAAATTTGCAAGAAGAAATAGCTTACCCCTTAGCAAAAACTGATGTACAATCTCCCATCGAACTTGAGATAAAGGATACAACAGATACAGTTAAGTCTGCCTCATATCTTGACTTACATCTAGAAATCGACAATGAGAGTCGATTGAAAACAAAATTTACAACAGAAGAAGCTTCCTAATTGTGAACTTTCCTTTTCTATGTAGCAACATTCTAGCAGCGCCTGCATACGGAGTATATATCTCCCAGTTGATACGATATTCCAGGTCTTGTATTTCCTATCATGATTTCCTTGATAGAGGGTTGTTGCTCACAAGGAAGTTATTAAACCAAGAGTTCTAAGTGGTGAAGTTGATTTCATCCCTTCGTAAATTTTGCAAACGCCATCATGAGTTGGTTGATCGTTTTGGAATATCTATTTCACAGATGACGACGGATATGTTCCAATTGTCGTAACATGAGGTAGTAATACACAGTTAAGAGTTTAGTTTCGCATTTTGGCCATGGTGAACTTTTTAGATATGAAAGTTTTTGTGCAACAAAACTGATTTTTAGACAGCTGAAGAATAATTTAGCCTTCAAAGTGTTTTTAAATGAACATCAAGATTTTTTTTATACATGTTTTATAGGCCATTTTTCTGTTTAACAGTTCGTCTTAGTCAACCGTACCGCCCATATGTCCAGAAACTGTTGTAGTGTTTGTCAACAAATATTTGACCCTCGGACTTTTCAATTCAATTTTATGAAAAAATGAGGTGAAATGCATATGATTTTTTTTTTGACCTCCTGATAGATAAATGGTTTTAGAAAAGGTATCACTCTAATGGATTGAAATTCTTTGTGGACCAAATTTTGGGAACTTTTGTGACATTTTCAACCCCCTTTTTGCAATTTTGTGTATCAAATAAATGCAGATTGTTGCCATGGTTACACTTAAAAGAGATTATATTTCACCATTTTAACTTTTGGAAATCAAATATATGAAAAATGCTCATATGCACATACATAACACAAACATTAGGCCTTATTTGTTAGAAAGCAAGGGAAAGAGGATGGATAAAATTTAGGAGTGTAAATTTTTAGGTTTTTCCTGTGTATTGCTACCTGAGCAACATAACGGTTGACACATGTGGAACAGGATATGCTTACCCCTCCGGAGCATCTGAGATCACCCCCAGTTTTTGGTGTGGTTCGTGTAGCTCAGTCTTTAGTTTTCTATGTTGTGTACTGTTGTTTGTCTGTTCGTCTTTTTCTTTTTTTTAGCCATGCCGTTGTCAGTTTATTTTTGACTTATAAGTTTGAATGTCCCTTTGGTAACTTTCGCCTCTCTTTTAGTATTCTATGTTTTATTAGACTTTACGTATGCCATTCGTCTCTGTTACTGATACTTGTTTTGCTTCTTTGCTATACTCATATTTGTTTTGTCACCATCTTAATATTTGCTATTTTATTTGTGACGATTACTAGTCAAAATGCTACGCAAATGGAGGATATTGCAAAAATTAGAGGGTACACTTGTGACAAGAAGTACTCATACGACTGTTCAGGAGACACAAATGTTGTCTTCAAGGTACTTAGAAATACAAAAGTTCGCACATTTACAAGTGTAAATATTACACACCTGATGTCGGTAAAAAGATGTGTATTGCTTTTCTAGAAAAGTGCAATTTAATTTTCGTTTACTTTTTCATTTAGTAATATTTACAAATATTTTAAAATTCTTCTTGTAGTTAAATCTGACGGCTCCGACGAGAGTGATTATGATTACAAAGGAAGAGGATATTGCACTAATAAAGGTTGACGATCCGGATATATTTATTTTGGCAACAAAGGATATTGCAAAAATATGGCAATAGGTCTTACAACTATAAATGCAACTTTTATGCTGGATGCTGTCTTCCGCGTGAGTATAAACATCTTCATATATCAGCTGTTTACCAACAGCAATTACCATTATAGATAACACCAAGCTTGATCGGCAGCGTGAATTATCGAATTCGTCTTAATCACTTCGAAGCGATAAACATTTTGAACCGTGAACAAAGAAAATGTAATTGTATTTTTTTAGTCAATTCATTACCTTAAGAGGAAAACTTAACTTGAATCAAATAAAGAAACAGAGTTATAATACCCCCCCCCCCCCCCCCCCCCCCCAAAAAAAAAAATATTTTGTCTTGTCAACTACGCCGTGACATACTTAATATTTTGTGTGTGGTGTCTTATGATCGTACTTGTGTTCAATGTTTGATGTATAGAATTGATGTGTTTTTAAAAAGATTTCTGAGTTGTAATTACTTAAGCTGTATTTTGCAAAACCTTTCGGAGTTTTGGGTCGTCATTCCTCTTCAATTTATTAGACGTGTTATAAAAGTCGATACCATTCTGGCGCTGATGTTAACTACCAATACTTCTTCAGGCTATAGTGGCGACTATCTCAAAAAGCACAGATAATCATTCATTATGTTAACTGTATGGGTGCATTTTATACAGATGAGATGATTTTTAATCAATAGAATAATAACAGTTGATTCCGCCATTCACGGACGAGGATCAAGCAAAACAACCCGATCATTCTTCATATATATATTAATATCATTATCATAAAATTACTTTTTTGCATAGTAGTGATCGATTAAGTGTAAGATCGTTGTTCCCCTTTTCCTACTGTTTTGTTGAACGACTACAAGGAAAATCAGCAAACTGATAAAAAAAGGAATAGAAAATCACTGCAATCAAATCACATCCGAATCAATCTTTTTGTTCAAAATGCATGTTTATTTGAAATTTATACTTTTCATGTCAAAGCTTAAGCTTTTATGTGGTATGCTTTTGCTCCTTTTTAAAGGCCTTACAGTGATCTATACAGTTTTTATATTTGGTATCTGGTGGATAATTTTCTAATTTGGCAATCATACCCCATCTCCTTATTTCATATCATGTTTCCAGAAATATGTAGCGTTAAATTCTAATAAAAAAGCTTGAGTATCACCGTTTCCTCGAACTATAAAACTGAACACCACAATATAACTGAAATATTGTTGGAAGTGGCGCTAAGCTTTCAAAGGTAATAGAAGTCTATTTTATTATCTTTAATTTAAGGATATGATAAAAGGAAATGTTTAAAACAGAATATTCATTTTCACTTGTTGAAAGGCCTGCTTAATTTTTGCAACAAAAGTAAACTATGCTACGCATGGTTACCTTTCAATGCAATTGTATTTTGAGAAAACCCGCATTACAATCTTGCATCGGTATTGGTATTTATCACCAGCGCAATATTTTAATCCCTTTCTTAACCCGTTTATTATCTTATTTGACCTTCCAATTATTTGATTCAAATTTCAATGATGAGTCTTTTGTAGACGAAACGCACGTCTGGTGTACAGCATTATAAGACTGTTGTCTATCATGAGTTTGTTTTATATATATTATAAAACAAATAAAGCATGATACAAATGCAAGTGAAAACATAAAAAATAGGAAGATGTGGTATGATAGCAAATGACACAACTCTCCACCAAAAACCCGATGACGTAGAAGTTGATAACAATAGTCGACTGTATTTTATTCATCCACAACATATATCTTTATCAATTAATTCATATTTGGTTTTGTATTGAAGGAATAAGTAATGATTTTGGTTTTATTTGCGAATTTTAAACAGTAATCGTTTTTCAACTTTTCATTCATCTTTATTTTGTCTCATAGGTAATATAAATATATACTAAAACATTATAGAAAAGTGAGTGAAAACATGTATGTGTTGATTTTATTCGTCCATTATATATATCTTATACTAGTTTTGTATTGAAAGTATAAGTAATGATTTTGATTTTTTTTCGAATTTTAATCAGTAATCGTTTTTCAACTTTTCATTTATCTTTATTTTGTCTCATAGGTAACCCATACAGCAAATTCAATTATTACTGCACAAACAAATACGGATGTCCTAAAAATTACTATTTTTATAACAACAAAGGCTACTATTATTATAATAACAAGGACTACTACAATTGTCTTTCTTACAAGGGATGTTGTCTTCGTCATGGTAAGTAGTAATATAAAATAAGTAGATGTGGCTAGACATCTATCTACCAAAGTCTAAATAAGTTCAATATAAGCAACAATAAATGAAACGGCCTTCAACAATGAAAACATCCATACCGAACAGTCATGTTTAAAATGCACCGACATGACAAAATGTGAAACAAATTCAAACGAAAACTATTGGCCTGATTTATGACAAAATAACAAATGAAAAACAGATATATGATAGAACGCAACAACGACAACCATTAAATTACAGATAGATAGTGGGTGTGTTTTAATACCTTGACTAGCTTTTTAGCTCTCGCACGGTCGGCAATTAAATTACAAGGTCCTGACTTGGACCAGACACATAAAGAATGTTACGTGGTCAATCATGTTTGTGAGCGCTCAACCCTCCACCTTACATAGGACTATGTTGTTACAGTACAACTTAGACTTTTTAGCTTTGTGATTTTCAACCATAATTTTTAAAAGATTTTAACCCAGATCTTTGGAACTTCACAGAGAGTTTAAATACTTACTGAGGTTGTGCATGTCCGAATATAGAGTTGTGTAAAGATTAAATTCCCCATTTTTAAATCCTATATTTTCCATAAAGTTAAGTGTTCATTATAGACCATTCTGCATTATTTAAGAAACGATCAGCACAACCCAGCCATTTCAGTCTTAATCACCTATTCCACCTTTTTAAATTGACCTAACAATACTTGTTCATAATATGTACATCACTTATAAAGCAGTTATTTGAAGATTGCTTTCAGCTATTCCTAGAAAACCCTTATATGCATATTATTTAATCATTCTAAACTTTTGCATCTTTAGACATCTGCAATCCACTGATGAATTATATTAAAAAAATATTTTATACGTTATTGTGCACTTACGAAATTAACGAAACAACTTCTGATTATGCACGAAAAATTGTAACTGTTGAGATGAATTACATATAGAAATACTGCAGCTCTGTGATTCAAGCAATTCACTAAATGAAAAAGAATTGATTTAAATAAGAAATTATCAAGCTTTCCATTCTTGCCAACAGTAAATATTTGGCTTGTATCAGCATTATTTTAATATTTCAGGATCTTTATTACATAGAAACATCTCAAAACAATTAAAACAGAATAAATGGATTGCAAATTCATAATGAGGTTAAAATTAACCTTAAACACGCTCTTACTCGTTGGACAATTGTATTATTACTGTTGAAGTTTTGGACCATTCATTCAAACAACTAAACTAAACTGATATAAAACAAGACGACAACTGAATAATGTTGCTTTCAATTCAGTAAACGTAACTACAAGGAACTTCCAAAATGTACACTAATTGGGAATAAGACATTGAAATCAATATAACTAAATAAAGTAAATGTTTAGGCTTTTTTTATTTATTTATATGAGTTGTATTCAACACAATTGTTAATGTCCAGAAAAGAGAGAGGAAGATACCAAAGGGATTTTCAAACTGTGAAAGACAAACCGGAAAAGACATGACATTTTCATTAACTGCCATTTTGTTACATTTCAGAAAAAGCGACATGGTTGTCGTGATAGACAATATTCGGTACATTATGTTATACGTCTATAATTTTCTATTATATTTTTAGGTTACTTAAGGTGAAACTAATATGGAAACAGTTCGTCGAAGAGAACATCAAAAAGTGCAGTCTACATTTATAATGATTTCAAATAAAATTATTTAGACACAACTATTCGTCTGAATTCATTTTATTTTCAACATATAAAACAAGGGTATCAAAATATACTTCTTTTTGTGTCCTCATCAATTGAATAAAGACATATATATACTATGTTCTTCACTAGGTTGCTAGTTGGCCTTAAAGAATACAATGTTCATTTATATTAATCCTAACATGCACCCGTGAACCGACAGGAAACTGAAAACGTAACTAAATCTCACAAAGTTTTTGTGATTGATAATTGCAGATAAAGGTTGCACTTCTGCAAATACAGACAATGCCATTTCCCATAGGAACTCCTTTTCGACTAAAACTGTGCCACTTTGACTATGGTGTTTCGTACAAAATCACATCCTAGAATGGAAAGTTTATATGCACTTCTATTTTTTTCAAACGTCAAAAAATAGGGCTGTGGTGCATATTTTCAACAATTATATGCTACGAACTTCTAAGAGTTTAAACTTATAATAAAATTATGAACTACCCCTCCCTTCACATTGGGTCTTTCTCAGAATTAAATTTGGCCGCTGTCCATGTGTGTTTAAATTGGTAACATTTGTAAGTTATGTCTCTATGATATGAAACATAAATATGATATCTGGGAACCAGTACGTAAACCAAGCAAAATATATATGAATGTTATATATCTCCTAAAAAAAGGCGTGGTTTGTAAAACAGCTGTATTTACAAAGTGCAACCTATAGAGAGATAAATTTAATTCGATAGAAAGGGGTTATAAGTCACTTTGGCCAGATTCAAGTAGGGATTCTTAATTACTTCAAGTATGCATTGAATTTGCACCCAAATTTCCACAGTAATTTATTTTCAGAATAACACTGAATTGCAAATCTCAGTCCGAATTTAAAAAAAAGTAAGACGTTAGATTTCATTCAATGATCCCAAATTGTGGTAGAATTAATTTCAATAAGGCGGACAATTGGTAACTTGTCAAAGGAATGCCATCCAAATACAAAAAAGAACCGCACAAAAAAAAAAACACAACTCTTCAAAATTACCACAACATATGTTTCACTCGTTATGTTTGGGTACTTGATAAGTTACACCTCATTCGAATTGATCTATTTTTGAACGCTTTCAACTTTGAAATATCCCAAACAACAAAAGCTTGCAAACCGGCAATCTCAATAATAAGCTTTAAATTGTCATTAGAATTTTCTGTAAAATAATTGTTGATAAAACGTTGAATTATTTGAACTACTAAGGTCTTTCTACCCCCATGTTTACATTGCCTTAGCCATCGCTCTTAATGTCTGGTATCTTAGATGAATATTTTCATGCAAATAACATTACACATTGAATTCATCTTAATAGAATAACCAAACCTGAACATCCAATTGTCTTTATATCTGAAACTTTCGAACCCGCACTGAAGCAAGTGACGAAATCTCCGTAAAAATGCTCTAACCTGTGAGTTCCTACTAACATCTGTAATATATCATATTCAGATATATACATAAATTGTCTGTGTTAATTGGAGTAAAACCTAAATCCTGCCATGACTTCTTTTTTAAATGAGGAATATGAATACCTTCGATAAAAGGCACGTGTTACCATTACCTACATGTGGTAGTACTATACAAAATTGCTCATTCCAAAGTCGACTCTATTGTAAGTCATATTAAAAAAAAATCAACTTTGATTCCTACTACCTCTTAATGCTAGTAGTCATGCATGTCTGGGGTACTGCAATAATCTTCCATTGACACTAAAAATCTGTAACTATTTGACAGTTTCGTATACCTATCATCAACAACAGGCTTCCGTGTTGGCAAAAACTATTAGGATATAACAAAAAGACAATCAGTGAAGAGGTGTCTGAATTTGTTCTACATTTAGTCGTGAACAGAACTTGACCGGACTTAGACGAACACAAATGAAAACAGGGTGTGGCTATAGTGATCAACGGTATTTGGACAGAATCCGTTATAATTCATCAAGCATTCTGCACCTTTCTAAACAAAATCAATATGTTTGAACTCATCCACCGAGTACAACAACCAAAATCTGAATTTATAACTACCTAAGAGCTTGAAGGGTAAGCCTAATTGTTCCACATACAACTTTCGACTAATGAAAGTACATTTAGATCCCAATCTTATGGTGTTCATTTATCATAAAAAATTGTCCTGATTTGCACATGGGGATACTTCATTCGTCTGTCCAAAGCTCAAAAGATATCATTTTGTTGTTGCTCTTGATAAGGTTGGATAATGTGATCCCCTAAAATGCTTGATAAGACAGTCCCAGTTGTTTGACTGCGTGTATAATACCTTAATACACGAGAGAACTAGCTGCTTCCTCAGCTAACTTAACATAACACAAAGGAAACAACGTTTGCGTCACCGAAAGCACCGTTGCATTTTCATAGACGTACTCTATCTGTGATTTGTTGAAATTTATCTCAACTGCCTGTGCAGCAGTGGTTTCCTTGTGCATAGAGGCAGTTATAATCACACCATGTTTTGCATGGATGGATACAGCCATTGGGTCAAAAACTGAAGGGCAGTCCTAACTAAATTTTGAAATGAGATGCATCAATAAGAATGTCGTTCTTTTGCTGTGAAGATTGTAAAGCGTGTGAAAGGATTTTGTCCTATGAATTAATAAATTAGAAAATTAAATTTAATTAGTTTTTAATTCCTTATCAGTGATGGTTCCAATGCCTTAATATGTTAAATGTACCTTATGGTGAACTTTGAATACGTCCGTTATGGTATTTGTTTTTTTTTTCTATTTTGTTTTTGAATTGGTAGTAGGACAATTTATATCGATTATCAATCTGTGCGTCGTTATTCCCTTTTACTTTAAGAAATCAAACATAAAGGTCAGATTTTTGTTTAGACAAACTATTCTTAATAACAGCATAGTGGGACATAAACATGCAGCAACTACAACTTTTTTTAATACAAAACACAAATTTAAATTGAATGGAATATTTAGCAAAAATTATATGAAAAGTTAAAAAAAATTACAAAGAAATGAAATAATTTGCATTTGTAGATGTTTTTGAATAATCGAAATAAACTGTTATTTAGAAAAAAGGTAACTTTGTGAAATGTGAACATTCATGTTGTAAATTCTAAATATATGTGATTGTGACATATGCTTTGATATGTTGGTGCTTTTTATCTTTATATATATATCTATTTGTTTGTTTACATGATTATTGGGGGAAAAATCTGTTTGCGCCAAATTGCGTCCGTTTATGCTACAACTCATTTGGGCTTATAATACGTTTACGCCACTAGGTTTTAGAATACCAAGTTTCATTTGCGCCAAAAAAATAGTATACTATAACACTAATTCGTAGATAAAATTTTATTTTAATTTCATAAATATTATTAAAAATATGAAAAACCGAAATAAAAGCAAGTGACGACATCACTTGGGTGTATCATCAGCAAATACATCTTATGCATCCCGATACAAAAGTATCAAAAATTTCAAAATCATCAATTATAATCAAACTTTCAATATCAGTAAATAAAACAAAGTTGTTCATTCTAAAAGTTCTTGTATTTTGTTGTGATTCTTTTTAGTTTTTTTTTGTCTGCCCTAGATACAACACTACCTTGTAAATGTCAACTCTTTTGCATACAAAATGCTCCAATTTGTTCCATAAAGTATTGTATTTTAGGTAATATAATTTGTTAGCGAATAAAATATCTATCAGGTTAATGACTGCTTGTTGGTTGATTAACGTGCAGTGGCAAATATTGCATTCACGTGCAAGACGAGAACAAATAAACAATACATACAATAGGAAGGACCTGTAATTGGGGTCGACCGGGATGAAGGGTGTGAATTTAGAATGCAACTGCAGACACATAGGGACTTAAATTTTTCCTGGCAAAAGGCCACCAACAGACCACTCCATTTTGGTAAAGGTTTTTTAAACGTGCAGGGAGCGTGGCACTCTCTCTCTTTACATTAGTCATCGCATTTTTCGTCCGCATTCTGACCGGACATGGCTGCGAATTCATACTTCCCGCACAATAAAACGGACGCCCCACTTTCACAAGAGTTTTTACTGACAGTTTGAAGAAGACTAAGAGAGACTTTATGTCTATTTCTCATTCATTCTTTGGGTCTCCTTATTCTAGTTATCTACGATATGCTTTCACTGAATTACCCCAAGACTAGATTACCTTAACTGTATTTGGCAAAACTTTTAGGAATTTTGGGTCCTCAAAGCTCTTCAACCTCGTACTTCTTTTTACCTATTTACCTTTTTTTTATTCGAGCGTCACTGATGAATGTTTTGTAGACGAAACGCGCGTCTGACGTACACAATTTCTATCCTGGTATCTATGATGAGTTTATTTACTATGCTGTCAATGTGAGCTGATTGTTTTTTATCAATCTTTTCCAAAAACAAAATATTTCCTCGTTTTAAACAAACAGGTAAAAATATTAGAAATTATATTCATTGCAAGAAGAATATAACATTACCTGGAGGTTTAATTGGAAGATAAATAAGCTTACCTGCACAAATTATAATCACTGTGGGTTTTGACTACGCTTAATTTTGTGTTGGACACTATTCCTTCAATGTTAACATATTATAACGGTTCTTTGGCGGCAAATCAAAGGAGGTAGGCATACATGAATAAACCCATCCAACCATACTTTGGTATAGAAAATTTTCTGTGTGAATGAAATTCCGTTGGTAGATCATTGTTTGATTCTAATATGGGACCTTATCACTCGTTAACAGTGTAAGTAAAAACTCATCAAAGAAACCAGAAATATGAATATATCAATGATATTTCATGTCAACAAAAAAGTGCTGCTGACTTCTGGGCTGTTGATACTGTCGGGGAGAAACCACCACCAGCAGCGGCATTGACCCGGTTATGGTAAAAACCCAAGATACCAGACATAATTTGATATGCCAGTAGGGCGTTTCGTCAACACAAGACTCAATAATGGCATTCGAATAAAAACAGTTGGATTGCCAAATC